TAGTTTGGGATGTAATATATATTATATCTCAGTGGAGACGGTGTTTAAAAGTACGGTGAGCGATATTAATTTATATCTCGAGATGTAATATAACAACTACCATGTGTATAATACATATGTGTGACATGGACATTAAACATGATCTTTGTTTTGTCCATGTTCATCCTAAGACCTATCCGTTGGGAGGCACTATTGAGGTCATTGAGCATAATGCTTAGGTCCTCTAGCGATTCTGCCATAAGGACTATATCGTCGGCAAATCGAAGGTGAGTGATGTACTCGCCACTGATGTTAATGCCGTATTCTTTCCAGTCCAATAGCTTGCAAACGTCTTTCAATGCAGCGGTGAAGAATTTCGGGGAAATAACGTCACCCTGTCTTACATCTCTCTGCAGTTGGATAGGTTTCGAACTCTGGTTCTGTACTCGGATAGCCATCGTAGCCCTACTGTACAAACACTTCAGCACTTCCATATACCGACAGTCAACTTGGGCCGCTGAAGGGGCTGTAGCACCGCTCAAATTTCGACGGAATTAAAGGCAAGGCAAGGCATGCACCTGGTAAGACATGCAGGAAGTCGATAGACGCAGGCGGCTTAGGACCGTGCTTTGTGGCATACCTTGGGGGAGGCCTATGTTCAGCAGTGGACTTGAGAAGGGCTGTAATGATGATGATGATGATGTAATATAAATTATATTATATCCCATAGTGGAAAGTCGGCTTAATGATCGGACTGAGAAGGTGGGAGGTGAGGTAGCTATATACCTCCGATCATATATTCCTTATAAAGTTCTATCTTCCCTTTTCCCTATTCTACCACTGCTGAGTTTTGATTTCCAGAAATCAACATTATGGATGCCAGTGCTAGTACAATTTTAGGTGTATAATTGTCCTTATGTGGATTATTTTGCCTCACTTGAGACGGATCTTGATACCATTGGATCTGAGTACATATATCGCAGCCCTAGCTTAATTGGCCTTTCAGTTAACAGCCTAGCCTTTTAACTAAACGACGCCGTTCAACTAGCTGCCTAAACGATATTCAGCATTAGCGTTTGTTACAATATTTAATAAACTGGCTGGCTAATGCTTAGGCCATTCGTACGATGGGGTGAAGCAGCACCGTTCAACTAGCGGCCTGAATGATATTCAGCCCATGCGTTTCAGCCGATACGTCTAAAATAAACGTTTCATGTCTAATTATGCACTATGCGCTATAATGATTTCTTAAATTTACGTGAACGCTACACATTGAATAAAACTAAATTTACGGATTCTATCGCGTTTATTTAACTGATTTTACTTATTTTTAACTCCCGACGTTTCGTCGTGACGTGAAGCACCGACGCTCCGGGAAGTCTGCAGTCTGTGAACATGTTGAAGATCGTCCCCACCATTACATCAGATTTGATAAACCACAAATCCTCGCAAAAGAACACCGATTCCTACCAAGGATGATACGCGAGGCTATTGAAATTAAAAAACATCCTAATTTCAATAGAGAAGATGGTTGGGTGCTGCCATCTGCTTGGGATCCTATAATTAACAAAATTAAACTCAAACCCAAGCATACCACTGCAAGACTTCAAGATTTTGCACGTGGTAGAGCCATGCTGCAATTATATTAGTAGTATAGTTGTAGCACGAATGGGTCGGCTCGACCGGGGAAGGACCACGCTCTCACAGAATACCAGCGTGAAATAGTAGCTTAATGCTGCTGTATTTCGTATGGTGAGTGTAGAGAACCGGAGACCCTTTTTACTGGAAATGAGGCATTCCATCTCAGTCCTCACGGGTGACAACGCATCTGCATTTTGATTTGTAATGGAAGATAGATGTAGATGTCTATGGGCCGCAGCAACCACTTACCATCAGGTGGACTGTGTGCTCGTTTGTCACCCTATCCTATATAAAAAAAAAGATACTGTAAGTTCGTTTTGCGTAAATCGGATCAAAAATTAATATTCAAAAACTGAAAGTAGCCGGGCTAACAATGACATTGGGACGTCAAACATCTCAGTCCCCCCCGTGACCATGGTTGCTGTAAAGCACCCGAAACGTCGGGAATTAAAAATAAGTAAAATCAGTTAAATAAACGCGATAGAATCCGTAAATTTAGTTTTATGCATTATGCGCTATGTTAAATAAATTTACGCGGCTTTGGGGCAGTCAGCAGGCAGTTGCACCCTAAGATACTGTCGCTGATATTACAAGATAGTCGCAATGTTGTATTAGACGCAGCGGCTGAATATCATTCAGGCCCTTAGTTAAACATAAAAAGGCTAAGCTGAGAATTAAACAGCTAATTAAGCTGGTTCGCTTCGACAACTTGTACCTACTATATTTCAATAAACTTTGGAAAACATCATCAAATAAAACTAAATTTACGGATTTTATCGCGTTTATTTCACTACTTTTACTTATTTTTAATTCCCGACGTTTCGGGTGCTTTACAGCAACCATGGTCACGGGGGGGACTGAGATGTTCGACGTCCCAATGTCATAGTTAGTCCGGCTACCTTCAGTTTTTGAATATTAATTTTTGGTCCGATTTACGCAAAACGAGCTTATAGTATCATGAAGTCTTGCAGTGGTGTGCTTAGGTTTGGGTTTAATTTTGTTAATTATAGGATCCCAAGCAGGTGGCAACACCCATCCATCTTCTCTATTGAAATTTGGATGTTTTTTAATTTCAACAGCCTCGCGTATCATCCTTGATAGGAATCGGTGTTCTTTTGCGAGAATTTGTGGTTTATCAAAACGAATGTAATGGTGGGGACGATCTTGAACATGATCGCAGACTGCGTCTGATCAGTGTAGTGTTCGCGTAAATTTAAGAAATCATTAAACATCATCAAATTTGTTGTTTGCCGACTCCATATTGACAGTTTGTAGAGTTTCAGCGCTAGGTATCAGAAAGTGGAACTAAATTTAAACGAACTGGCTAGGCAAGTAATGAAACGTCAAGTCATTTGCCTAGCTATTTGATGAAATGGCTGAATATCATTCAGGCCGCTAGTTGAACGGCGCTACACATACACTGCATGTTAATAGGTGATTTCAACACTGATTTGTTAAAAAATACTTCTCGCTCCAAAATATTTCGATCAATCATTGAATCAGTCGAACTTTACATTCGCCCATTGGCGGCAACTCATAGAAATACTGACACTGATGATTCGTTGATTGATCTCATCATTACTTCCTCTTCTGATCATGTAATTCAGTTTCGACATCTCTCTGCTCCTTGTTTCTCACGTCACGACTTGATTTACTTTTCATATAAACTCTAACCTCCAAAACAGAAACCCATTTTTGTGAAGTTGCGCAATTTCTCTAGAATAAATATTGAGAGTCTCACGAGAGACGCGTCTTCAATTGCTTTTGGATCTTTGGTGGCAGCTTCTAACGTCGATGATAAAATATCCTTTCTTAATGATACCATCCTGAATCTGTATAATATTCATGATCCTGTACATTATTTAAAAGTCAAGCGTTCTCCTGCTCCCTGGATAATTAAAGGGGTACGAGTGACAATGGCACGGCGAGATCGGGATTTACAGAAGTTTAAAAAGGATCACTCTTAACTAAATTGGTCTAACTTCATATTGCTAAGAAACAGATACAATCGGGTGGTACGAAATGCTAAATGCCACTACATTCATGACTACTACTACATAACTATTTCTTCAGTCACTGATGTGTGGAAATTCCTTAGACCTCTCGGAGTTAATAAATTAAATTCCCTGGAATATGGCTCCTCTCTCAATTTGAGTGACATTAATCGTCACTTGGTTTCTTTTACTTCATTATGGCGCAATCACACTTGATCGTTAGCTCGTATTCGATTGCCTATGGAATTCAGACCAACGACTAAGTGTAAATGAACGGAGTCGAGTACGCCCGTCTTTGTACAATCTATTACAGCTTTCATTTTGATTTCATTCCAACGGAGAGATATCTTCAACGACGAGTAAAACAATGTAAATAATGCATCGGGTGCCCGAATTCGAGTAACGTCTTTCGTGCATCCGAATAAGGGCTAACGACCGAGTGTGATTGCGCCCTTAGTCCGTTCTCAAACTATTGCTTTTTTTTTTTTATTATATCTTATGGTTTTACTATATAATCACTGCAGCCTCTCCGGATCCCTGACTTTAGTTTCTCCCCTGTTACTCAGCATGATACAAAAAAGCTTTGTTTACCATTAGATCCAAAGCTGTAAGTTATGATGAATGTAGTGAGCTAATGGTGTCTATGATACTTGAGTTTCTACTTCCAACTACATCCACAGAATAAATAATAGTACTACGTACTTCAATGTCGCGGCGGCGCCTTTGACAAGATGCGACACGTTCTGTGGCGGCATCCGCATTCTTGATAAGCTGTAGTTTTGTTTTTTTTTTTTTTTTGAAAAACTTTACCCCTACACTAGGATTTTCTCCTGTATCGTGGAGGCAGTTTACAAACATAAATTGCACAAGGACAAACATCCAGACCCGGAACAACTATTTGTAGGCCATACAAATATTTGTTCCGTGCGGGAATCGAATCCGCGGCCCCCAGCGTAGCCATTTATTGCTAAGCCATACTGCGCCACAGAACCATCGATTTACACTCTTTATAAGTTATAATGAATTAACAATTAATGATTTAAATTGGATACTTTTAAGTGTCTCAAAATTTTGTCGATTCTATTTCAAGTTAAAAGAAAAGTAAAAGTTATAAAAATAGTGAAATTTCAATATCGCATTTCCAACTTTACAAAGCGCAATTTCGGCCTCACATTGAATACTGTTCTCATCTCTCGGCCGGGGCACCCCAGTGCCAGCTTCTTCCACTTGACCGCATCCAGCGTAGAGCGATTCGTATCGTCGACGACCGAGTTCTTCCTGATCGGCTCGATTCACTGGCGCTGCAGGGATGTTGCATCCCTGTGCGTTTTCTATCGTATCTACCGTGGGGAGTGTTGTGAGGAATTCTTCGGATTAGTTCCAATCATGTACTTACTAAATTGTTTGTTAACTTGTCCCCAGGCATGCCTTAACGTGCTGACCAAGCAGGAGGCCTCTCCGTGCGTGGAGAAAGAAGAAGTCAAAGTAGAAGTGGAGAGATTCATCGACCACGCACGACAAATGGAGGCTTTCTTCTTGCAGAAGAGGTAGCTTAATAAAGAATATCAGTTATATGTTAAAAAAAATATTCAAAAATGTACTAAACAATCACGGCGGCCAGTCTTAACGGAGACTAGCTATATGCACAGAACAGAACTCTAGTGTGTGTGCGTAAACACAAGTACACTCTCTGTTGCCTCACTCTCATTAGACATGTGTCAATCGTTCATTTCTCGTGACTGAATTGTTCTAGTACATTTCGTCACTCGTACCGGTACATTCGGATCGATCATTGAAATGGATCATTTCGGGCTCCAGTACCCTACAATAAAAACAATTCATTCAGATCATTCGGCATTGAGTCGGTTTTCGACATTCACAATTCACACCAATCACGAATTAAAAAGGTTCCGTCAATTGTTCTGTGATTGGTTGTACCGGAACATTCAAAAACAGACAAATGAACCATCAATACTCTTAAGTGTACCGGAACGAATCATTCATGATTGACACATGTCTAACTCTCATAGTCCGATGGGACGGTGACCCGACACGACCGGAGAGAGTCCAACTTCAAACAAAAAAGGTTACAGATGCGTTGTTACCTCTGAGGACTGAGATGGAATGCCTCGAAGCGTGTAATTTGGCTGGCGCCCTTCAGATCGGGATATAGCAGCTCCAGTCCGTCTGATGGTAATTGGATGTTGTGGCCCATAGACATCTTCATTTATCCACGATTGAGAATCAAAATACAGATGCGTTGTCACCCGTGAGGATTAAGGTGGAATGCCCCGTTTCTAGTAAAAAGTCTGAAGTTCTTTACACTCACCATACGAAACACAGCAGCATTGAGCTGATATTTTACGCTGGTATTCTATTGACAGCCTCTTTGCTCTAGTGGTTATATAGTAGTGTGACTGCTGATCTGTTATTGAGCGTATCTAACAAGAATTTCTCAGTAGATGCCTGGAGTCAGGAAGTTGGCGGTGTCTCACCCCCGTGCCTCGGAAAGCACGTAAAGCCGTTGGTCCTGCGCCTGATCTCTCTCCGGTCGTGTCGCTTTACCGTCCCATCGGATTATGAGAGTGAGGCAGTATAGAGTGCACCTGTGCTTGCGCATACACTTGGTCTACGTTTAGTCTACGCTAGTCTACATTGAGGCAGGCTGCCGTGGCCGAAATTCGGTCTGGAGGACATTATTATTATTAGTTGCATATGTGTGCGTCCAACTGTGAACATTTAAGAGGTTAATGAAGGAAGGAAAAAGAAAGAGGTGTGTATAAGTGCGTGTCAAGAAGTTGAGCATGGTTTAGGCATCACTTGATGTCTGATGTGATGATGATGATGATGATTAGTCTAAACTGAAAATATATTCTTATCGCTAACTCCATAATATAAAACAGGTTGGAACTTGTTTCGCTTACCTGTAAAATTAAGGCGCTCAACGATTCTCATTAGGTTACTACGTGGTATGTCCCCTTTTCTGCCAGAGGTTGTCTAGGTTGGTTTAAAAATATATATAATAAAGGTGAGAAACGAGCTACCAGTCCACCTGTTGATAAGAGGATGATGTGGCATATAATCATCTTCATTTATCGTCGATTAAGAATCAAAATGCAGATTCGTTGTACTGAGGATTAGGATGGAAATCCTTGTTTCCAGTAAAAAGGTTCTAAATATTCTTACACTCACCATGCGAAACACAGCAGCATTAAGCTGCTATTTTACTATGATATTTTGTGAGAGTGCACGAATGGGTCGTCTCGACCGGGGTAGGCCACTCCGGTCAAGCCGACCCATTCGTGCTACAACTAATATAGCTGTGGCGTGGCTCTACCACGTATGACCATCCTCTCTACCTAATTCTGCTGTCCAATATAGAGTACTTGTACTTTTGCATTTTATTAGGTTTGATTAGCGCTGCGCTTTGCGCTTTACAACTATTAAGCTTAGATCGCACTCTACGAATTTTTCGACCCAGGTTCCTACTGTCGGCCATGAAGCCGGAGCTCCTCGTGAAGGAGGACAACAATGAGCTGAAGTGTGAGTTGCAGCGGAAGGACGAGCTTCTGCGACGGCACTACGACAAAGTCAGCCAGTGGCACAGTCTGCTCGCGGACTTGCAGGTGAGAGAATAGTGACTTTGTAGTAGGTTCCTTCTCTCTTTTTATTCGGACTCTATAGTTTTTTATGTGTACCTCATAACTTTTATCTGCGCGAACCGATTTTGATGATTCTTTGTTTATCTGAAAGCAGGTGCTTCTCATGTAATCATATAAATTTAATCAATATGAAGCTTTAATAATGCGTATTTTATTGACTTCGAATACATTGATAATGTTATCATTTTAATTAATATTAAAGTCGGTTGTACAAATATTTTTAATTTTACCACTTGTTTTGTGAATGTTACTCCTACACTAAGATTTTATCATCTACCGTTGAGGCACTTTACATACATAAATTGTATAAAGACAAATATGCTAACATTATAAATGTTCCCTTTGACTCACTTGGTAAGATTAAAATACTTGTTTTTGTTAGGAGTTAGGTATAGTGCTTTAAGTTCGCGGTTCGCACCCTGACATAAGACTGTTGTGGTGTTTTCTTCCAAGCCATACAAATATATGGTCCGTGCCGGATTTGAACCCGCGTCCCTCGGTGCCGCATTACTCAGCCGTCAACGTTTTTCCTCCTCAGTCCTCAGGGGTGACAACGCATCTGCATTTTGATTCTTAATCGAGAATAGATGTAGATGTCTATGGGTCACAGCAACCACTTACCATCAGGTGGGCTGTGTGCTCGTTTGTCACCCTCATTCTATAAAAAAGTCATATATAAACTTTAATTTAATAGTTTTAAAATCATATATTTAGACAATTATAAATAATTTTTAGACAATCTTGAACAGAATCTCTTAGGGTTGTTAAGGTTTCGGCTTCGTATTTGGCTTCGGTCGAAAGTTGTGGGATAGGCGATAATAACGTTAACGGCTACGCCTTCGGCCGGACACTAGAAGTAACCCATAGCAACCTCCTACTACAACCGCGGGACTAAATGCGTTGGTTATGCTTCAACGCCGCCACCTGTGTGGTGGCACTTCATACGGAACCCTTGAAAAATCTGCGGCTGTCAATACGCCCCCGCACATCGTATTAACTATGGCAATTAATTACTTATTAATTATATAATTATGAAATATTAATATTATATATGAATATACATATATATTTATAAGTATGTGTATTTATCTTATCTATGTACTTATATACCATTCTAAATTATGCGTCTTTATTTCTATTTTATGATTTATAATAAATATAATGTCAAACCACACACATTTTTTATTGTTTTCTTGCAATTTTGTCCATCCAAATCCAAAGCTTGTCTGGAAGAAATCACCCTTAGCGATAAGATCGCATATTGTACCACATTTCTTTCTCTCCTTTTTTTAAAAATATTTATATTTTTTTGGCGTGCAATAAAGTGTTATCTATCTATCGAATCTACTCCTATAAATTTTATTCGTGGTAGAGCCATGTTGCAGTTATATTAATAGTATAGTTGTAACACGAATGGCTCGGATCGACCGTGGAGGGACCACGCTCTCACAGAATAGGTAGCTTAATGCTGCTGTGTTTCAATGGTGAGTGTAGAGAACGGAGACCCTTACTGGAAACGAGGCATTCCATCTTAGTCCTCACGGATGACAACGCATCTACATTTTGATTTGTAATCGAGGATAGATGTAGATGTCTATGAGCCGCAGCAACCACTTACCATTAGATGGACTGTGTGCTCGTCAAACTGTCCTTTAAAAAAGCGATCTAGAGGGGAGGTCTATGTACAGCAACACGCTTGGCGAGGGTGTTCACAACCGCAAGTTTGTTTCCTATTTTTAAGTTGTCATCAGGAATATTCCGTTGCTCATCTCCTGTTATAGTTTCCCCTTGCTGCCTCAAAGAGCACGGGACTTGTGGACCATTGTGTAAAACTATACGGTTTCCCCAGGGTCACACGGTTTACAACAAATGCCAGCAACAACAACAGCAGCAGCAGACCTCGCAGGCTCCACTTCAGCAGGCCGCTTCGCCCATGCAGCAACCTTGCGCCGTCCAACAGAGCGTTCAGGTATGTGATGCGCACCATGTAATGGATAATGTTAATGTTTTCCAGACCGATTTCGGTCACAGCAACCAGTTTCATTGGAGACCAGCGATCTGCGCAGGACAGGAGTATAGTTGCACTCTTTTGACCGTGGAGCAGCCAATGCTCCATGTGGTGGTAGTTTGGAGCTCTTCTATACTGGATGACCTTTTTTACCGTCTGGAAAAAAAATTGGGTGTAACATGTGAACGGAGTAGAAGCAATGATGTCAAAAGGAAGGATAGGCCCATCTAAATATTTCACTTATAACTTTTTACAAGAAAAAGTAGCGCATCTGTCATATTACAAACATCATATCAATAACACCACGTAACCAGGGTCGAATTTCGTAGTATAATATTTTCCCAATTATACCATTATTTCATAGTTTGTAGTATGTAGTAATGTAATAAGACTAAGCGAAAATACCATAATTTTACCTAAACATCGACTTTTATTATTGGGTCCTTTTACTTTTTAATATTAAAAAGAATGAAGAAGCAATCAAGAATTTCTGAATTGTACATGAGTACCGCGTTTTTTTAAATAAAATAAAAATTAGCTCCCTTTCTGGTCGATCGTTACTAGATTGATGCATTTATGTTCCATCCTTGATACAACTATAATGAGGGGCTACCACGATAAAAACTCTGTGCTCCAGAAGCAATCGGTTTGAAAACAGAATTTGAAAATATTTTATGTATCAGATTTTCAGATTCAATTAAGCATATATGGTTTTGTACTCTTTTCATTTTACTCTTATTGAATATAACATATATTATGTAACAACATTCAAAATTAAATTTACACTAAGTTCTTCCGATAAAAATTAAACAGAAATAAAAATAAAATCGTCAAAAAACGAAACGTATAGATAAACTAGACGCGTGACGACAAAATCTCGGCACATGGAAAAAAAACGTGAAACGACAAACGTAATATAATTTTTGAAAAATAGTATTATTTTATACTAACTGTAAAATAAAACTTTAAAAATGCGTTTATATAGTAATTTAATTGTAATAAAATTAATATAAGGCTATTTACCGATGATACGATATCCCATGTTTTTTTAATCTTTGTATCGTGATTTTTGCATTCTTTTACCACGCAAGTATTATATTTATGACAGGAAAATCTGTGCTGCGCGCGCACCACTGTCGACAAATTCGCGTTGGCCATAAACTGTAATTTTAGGGCCAGCGCACTGGTCTGTTTTAGTTGTTCGGTCGGTCCGGTCCTTACGCTAGTAATATATAAGTCAATGAGTAGAAGCCTTATAGCACTGATATTTTACAAAAAATAATGACAAAATTTTGAATTAAACGTTTGAAAAAAATTTTTTGAACAAGTACTTTGCTCTTTGTCCTTGAGCCTATGACCGTGCAAAGTGGCAAGGTCAAAGATGACTAGTAAATTTATTGATTTATTGCTGTTAGTAAAGTATGGTGGACATGATTTGAATGCCGATACATTTTAATTTATTACTTTATTTTATTTAAAATTTTTGTTTTTAGTTTTTATAAAATATCAGTGCCATAGGCTTCTACTCGGTTCTACTTCTGCCCTTTTTTTCCAGACGGTAAAAAAAGGTTATCCAGTATGTACCGCAGTTCTTAGAAACTTTGAAAGCGTGATTTAGAGCACATTGGGCACTCGGCGTTTCGTTCGGCGCACGTTAATAGCATACATACTACGTCGCAGTAAGATGGTTAAAGCCGTGATCTATTTATATCACTATATATAGATAGTTATGATCAACTTTCAAATACCTATATTATGGTATATAGCTATGTTGGGATGTAACTATATAACGGCTTTAACCATCCTCCTGCTACACATACACCGCCCTCAGTATGGCGTGATCGCTCTTGGAAGTCATCAATAAATAAATCCGTATCAAAATGCTAACAAATCAATATCAAAATGATATCCATTTTTGTCAACGCATGTGTCCACTCTACATGAAAGCGCGATCCAATGTTCAAGAAAAAGGCAGCCCATGTATCTAAAATGCGCAATGAGCGTTCTAACACAACTGCGCAGTTCTGACAATGTGCCTCAAACTATAAACCTCATTTTCGCATATACGAACAAAGAGGCAGTCGAAAAGGCGCACCATACGATGAGATATAGAATAGACCTTATATAATGATTTCTTATTACAAACCGGTTGGTGATCATATCCTAGACGGCCCCAACCAGTACATCAGATTTGATAGACTACAAATCCTCACGAAAGGACATTGATTCCTACCAAGGATGATATGTGACGCTATTGAAATTAAAAAAAAACATCTTAATTTCAATAGAGAAGGAGGCTGGGTACTATCACCTGCTATGGATCCTGTAATTAATAAAATTAAAACTAAACTCAAGTATACTACCGCAAGACTTCAAGACACAGTAAGTTCATTCTGCGTAAATCGGACCATAAATAATAATTAAAAGCTGAAGGTACTCAGGGTTAACACTGACATCGGGACGTCAGTCATCTCAGTACCCAGTGACCATGGGTGCTAGAAAGCACCCGAAAAATACTTACCTTACCTTACAAATATATTTATGTATATTAACTCTGAGCTGGTTAAAATACGCAGATCACATAAACTTAGCTTACGGTTGACAAATCTTCACTATTCAATCATCGCTCCACAGATTATAGGATAATATGCAGATAATTTTTTTTTGATAATACTGAATAGATACATGATCTTAAAGGCCACCTATTGGTAAGTGACTACTGAACTTCAGAACACCTCCAGGCAACTTAAAACAAAGGAGGCTACGGTGTGTTGTCACCTCTAAAAAGATGGAATGCCTCACAGCTAGGGTTGCCAGGTCTTAACACCGAAAAGGCGAACAGACCAGCGAACTTGCCAGACATTTTGGTAAAATGGCCGGACACCCTTAATTTTTAGTCTTAGTATACATGACAATTATTTTAGAGTAAAATAATGCTTTTTATAATTTACCATAAAATCCAATGATTTCAAAAGGAAGGATAGGCCCATCTATCCAATCCAAAAATCCAATATTTTACTCATAACTTTTTCATACAAGAAAAAGTAGCGCATCTGTCATAATACAAACGTCATATCAAAACACCACGTAACCAGGGTCGGATTTCGTAGTATAATTATCCTAATTGTACCATTATTTCATAGTTTGTAGTACATAGTATCGTAATAATACTAAGCGAAAATACCATAATTTTACCTAAAGGTCGATTTGTATTATTATTGGGTCCTTTTACATTTTAATATTAACCCTATGATATCGAGAATTTCTGTATTGTACATGAGTATCGCGTGTTTTTAGTAACATTAGAATTAGCTCCCTTTCTGGTCAATCGATGAAAAAAGAAACATGAAACGTCAAACGTGATATAATTTTTTTTAAATAGTAAAATTTTATTTTCCATGTACATTATTTTTGAGAGTCTGAATCCAACCCTGGCCTAATCTTGGTAACGTAACTAAACTAACTGTAAAATAAAACTTTAAAAATGCGTTTATATAATAATTTAATTGTAACAAAATTAATATAAGGTTATTTACCGATGATACATTATCCCATGTTTCTTTTAAATCTTTGTATCGTAATATTGCATTCTTTTACCAAGCATTAACTAGACATATTTGTGACAGACAATCTGTCAAAAATCAAATCTGTCCTACGCGCGCACCACTGTGGACCGATTCGCGTTGGCCATAAACTGTAATTTTAGGGCCTGCGCACTGGTCTGTTTTAGTTGTTCGGTCGGCTCGGTCCTTACGCTGGCAATATATGTATAAGTCAATTATAAAATCTTCTTAAATTCTAATGAAATGGCAATAAAATTGAATGAATCATTCTCATTTATTATTAATCATTTAATATTCATTAAAATATTTAATTTTTTTTTTAATTTTCTTCACCATTTGCCTATATTACTTAATCTGAATCTTCACTGCAAATTTGGCAAGTTATTGCAAAATAACCCTCTATATAGCGCAGTACTTTGGAACTGTGATAATTTGATTTAGGCTTCGGTGCGTATTGCATGTGCTGTGCCTACCACAGTACTCTGTGGAGTGCCACTACAGTACTCTGTTGGCAGTGCTCTGTGGAGTGCCACTACAGTACTCTGTTGGCAGTGCTCTGTGGAGTGCCGCTACAGTACTCTGTTGGCAGTGCTCTGTGGAGTGCCGCTACAGTACTCTGTTGGCTTCTCCTGTTAGGGAAGATGTGTTTGACTCTTGGCACACGGATTTATTATGGCAGTACCACAGAGTACCTTTGACACAGCTGCTCGTCGGCACCAGCCGTAGATTTTTCTAGCGTTTCCATTGCCGCCTCTTATCACATTTCATCATCGTCATAACCTTTGCCGTTTGGTTGCGGTTGAAGAGAATCAATCACCTTTTTCGGTTGTAAGAGATGACTACTGACAAAGTCAGAAAGATGTAGTGGCTTCCGATGGCCGGACTGGTGATGGGTTCGCTCGCTTTTTTCTTTATATCTATGGGCTTGTTGCTAAACATAGCCCCACCAGAGAATGCCAGAAAGGACGCTCCTGAGCAATCTGCATCCATCGACTTCCTGCATTATGTTAGGTCGTCACTCCATCCAGGGGGAGGAGAGGGGGAAGCACGCGCCCTGCACTTTGCTTACCATTACAGGGCTGCCATTGAATTATTAGCAGTCTGTAATTGTTGTGATAATTTTGTAATAGAATAAGAATAGGGGTGACAAACGATTAGATGTATAGTTGTAGCACGAATGGGTCGGCTCGACCGGGGAAGGACCAAGCTCTCACAGAATGCCAGCGTGAAATAGCAGCTTAATGCTGCTGTATTTCGTATGGTGGGTGTAGAGAACCGGAGACGCTTTTTACTGAAAACGAGGCATTCCAGTTGGTGAGAGCGCATCTGCATTTTGTTTTGTAATCGAGGATAGATGTAGATATCTATAGGCCACAGTAACCACTTACCATCATGTGTACTGTGTGCTTGTTTGTCACCCTATCCTATAAAAAAAAATAAAAAAAAACGAGCACATAATCTACACGATGTTAGGTGGATGCTGTGACCTATAGACATCTTACATCTATCCTCGATTATGAATCGAAATGCAGATGCGTTGCCACCCCTGAGGACTAAGATGGAATGCCTCGTTTCCAGTTAAAAGCGTCTCCGATTCTCTACACGCACCATACAAAACGAAGCACCGGAGCGTTAAGCTGGTATTCTGTGAGAGCGTGGCCCTTCACCGGTCAAGCCGACTCATTCGTGTTTCATCCATAATATAGCTGCAGCGGGGCTCTACCACGTAAAAAGTATAACAGGCAGCGAGGCTCAGCTCTCAGTAGCAATACATGTATACTTCGATTGAATTTGGTTGCAGGTGTAGTGTTCGCTTCAAGTTACCGTTGGTCACCTGCACCATCACACTGTGACTATCAGCTGCAGTATTCACTTACTGTCCATCCTTACCATATCCATCATCAACACCGACATGGCTCTACCACGTATTTAAAGTAATTTGAAAACTTTTCCTTTTAGGCCCAACAGATGGCAGCGGCGGCAGCAGCCCAGCAAGCGGCACTTCAGCAACAAGCGCTACAACAGCAGCAGGTACCGCGTCCGCCCCACCCTCCCGCCTATCCCAGTGCTGGGCAACGCCGGTAGCCCTCAATAGTTTGCTATTGTCGCTGCGTTATATGTGGGCTATCGTCGTTGAGGGAATTGTATTTGTAAACCTAGAGTACAATTGAATGTCTCAGAAATATATTTTGAAAATAAATATAAATTGAAAAATGTCTACCAACTGTATCAAAGGTCTACTCGCTATTTAAAAAAATGGAAATAAAAGAATGGCGTCGTTAAAAACAATAAGTGATATTTAATTAATTTATTAGTTATTAATAAAGTGCTTATTAAGTACATTATATTATAAATAAAGGAGAAAATATGGACCGGGCTATGCTATTCACAAAAAAATTTAAAAAAAAATTAAACGAACGATTCGTCGAAATTATTTTCAATATAATGAGGGTCCGCCATTTATGTTTGACATTCAGTTGGATTCTATGAAAATTATAATTAACGGCTTAGAATTGTTTACTTTAATTTTTTGTCCTTTATTTTTCGTTTTATTTACTTTATGTAGATAGGTTGCTTTTCCGTAATTATTGATAGCTTGAAAATATTGTTTGCGATAGGTTTTAATTTCTAACATTTTTTAATTTGTAATTATTTCAGTATTTAGTAAAATTATTATTTTAACCTAAGTGAGAGTCAGTAAATATACAGGGTTATTTTTCAAAGATTAGCCAAATTTTAAACTTAAGTTCAAATATATAAATAATTATATACCTACCGTTATTGCAGTTTTTGAAAATAGGAGTAAATAAGGCTTGTACTTTTATTTGATATTATCCCAAATTAAATGTGATTTATGGGCAACAACGTTTTTTTAGTTAAAATAGTGCATAACCATGCATTTTGAATTTAAAAGATAAAAAGAACAGAATGTTTGAGATTTTTTTTAAATAAATTTTTCTTCAACATTTGCCTATATTACTTATTCTCAACCTTCTCTGTAAATTTGGCCGGTCATTGCGAAGTAACCCTGTGCAGCATAAGGTACCGAATAAACATGATTAGTATTTTAAATCTCATATAAACTAGGGAAACATATGTAAACTATATATTTTTTTGCTTTGTTAGGTTGTAATATATGTATAAGAAAAAACATTAATATAGGTCTAAATTTTAAGATAGTGCTTAGCGATTGAATATAAAAAAAATCAGACTTATAATTTAATATATATATACGTTCCTAAGCCTAGACGTCTTATTACAAAAAGTGGTAAAATTCAAAACTTTGTACAACCGACTTCAATATAAATAAAATAGCAACATCATCAATGTAGTCGAAATCAATTAAATACGCATTATTAAGTATAACTTAAAAACTACTGGTCAGGTCTTGATCAAATTGATATGGGGACTCACATGAGAAGCACCAGCTTTCAAATAAAAATCAATCATCAAAATCAGTTCACCTAGAACGCGGTAAACACAAAAACATACAGTCGGATTGAGAACCCCTTCTTTTTTGAAGTCGGTTGAAAAGTAGTAAAGAAGTCCCGCGGAAAATATACGAACTTAAATTTCAAGTATGAAATTTGAGCGCTAATGTCAAGTAATGTGTGTAAGTTTTCGCGAGGACTGTTGCGCCACGGATAAGGGCTTAGGGCCAGGTTCAAAGATTACTAAGAGGATACTACACATCAGAATCTTAGAACAACTAATACGAACACGGTAGTTTAGTTCAGTGTTGCCATGTCGAAAAACTGGTCGGTGGTAGACCTATTTAAAAATACAGTAGATTTTATAAAACTATGGAAAAAAAACTACTAGGAAATAAAATAAATAATTCAAAAAATCAAAAACCCGACTGCAAAAAAGACAATTTAAAAGTATTGCACTAAAAAGATCGAAACAAGATTGAGAATACAAAACAAAATATCTTTAAGGAAAAAAATAATTAGGCGGAACCCATAGTCTTTCGGTTTGTAATTTGCAATGGGTCTTTTTTTTTACAAAAGTATAAACTATTTGCAATAGTTTATACTTTTGTGTATTCATTTTAATGTAACAAACACGTAGATATATAATATGTGGCATAAAAAGTGAAAAGTAAGGGCAAAAAATATTTCGAAATCGAGAAGTTCCGTTTTAGCGGTTGGGTCAAAAATGTGTTATTTTCCCATTCTCATTTATCTTTAGTTTAAATGTTTTATAACATATTTCAAATAACTTGACGTTGCATTTATTTCAAATTCACACAAAAATATTTTTGAAATATTGTTTGAAAATACATACAAATAACAATGAATTTCGGATTTCTTTTTTAATTTTTTTTTAATATTTTGGTATGAATGACGAATAGAAACACTTAAAAATATACATATTTCCAAACATTTTCATATAGATTTCTCAAAAAGCAAACGTGTAGAATTTAAATTATAAGTATTTTCGTGACTAAAAGTGAAGTATCTACTACTACTATGTTTTATAGGGTAATTTCGGATTTTTATCACAATTTCTAGCTACTAAAAATAATTTTATTCGATAGTTTATACATTCAACTAGAATTCCTGTAAGTTTTATCCATAAATATTGTCTCAAAGTGAAAATATAGCAAAATTTGCAAGTTAGCAAAAAATTTGCAATTCCCGCCATTTTAAGGTCTCGAGCAAACAGGAGTATCAAATTACGTGACGGCTTACGAGCTAACAGGTTAAGTCTGTTGCTCGTAAGGTTTTACCACCATATGAATACGGCCTGTATTGCATATGGTGGTAAATTCTTGTTTTGGTTCTTGTGATGTCTAATCATTGAGGGGGTCGCTGTTAGTTGTTTCGATTTTAGAGTTAGGTATCGTATCTTCAAGGTCTTCTTCAATCAGAATTTTTTGTATTGGCTCCGTGGGAAGAGGTTGGTCTGTAAGTCGACTTGGCGCGATTGCTTCTGGACACACTGCAGTTCTGTTTAATGGATAGATACCCGTCTTTGCAAACCCTGCTCTTATGTTTGATGGAGTGAAACATCTTTCATACGCTGGAGTCAAAAAATTTTGAAATTAAAAACGTGTCGGCACTGAACTTGGATGTTGCGTTTTGTACTTTTGTAATTCAGCATGCCAAGGAGCTTTAAGCGGCCGAAAGACCCCGATATCAAGTGGCTGCAAGATGTGATTTGTATGTGCTGGCATTGTGAATCACATAACCTTTTTAGATTGAGCATAAGCTAAGACATTCGGCGAAACATGGCTGGCATGTGAATCCATTATGAACAAAACCGGCCTTACTGGAGGAATGTTTTTCGAGCAAAATTCCAGCCATTCCAAAAACAGATCTGCATTGATCCAATCTTTTGGAGAAAGACCAGAACTTAGTTGTGGTGTATTTCGAATCCCTTTGAAAATCTTCATCGGTGGAAGAAAACATCCAGAAGCATTGATGGCAGCTAGTGTGCTGTACTGGTGGTACCTTTTCAGCGTATGTACGGTTACTGTTTTCCAATCTTTGGTACTATTTTGGAAGGTTTGTTTACAAACATTAAGCCGGTCTCGTCGCAATTCCATATTCTATCCGGGGATTTTAACAAATCGTGCTCAATCAGGGTCTTCTCTAACTTTTCATAAAAGTCAACAAGGATAGCAGGATTGGAAAAATTAGCTTGGCCAGCAGAAAAATTCTCCGGTGTTCGCAAAGATAAGCCATAACGTTGTTTGAAACTGAGCCATCAGTTCCAACCAGCAAATCCTTTCTCTGAGCTAAAGGAATGTCTAAGATTTTTTGCCTCTGCCAACGAAAAGCCAATTTTTCGAATTTGATCCACTGTGAGACCAAACCCGAGCTCCTGCATTCCAATTATATAAGCAACTATTTTTTGCTCTATTTAACCGGTAATGAAAACGGTCTTCCAATTTTAGACATAAAAAATTGAGTTTCGATTCCTTGGTCTTTTTCTTCTTTCGCACGACGAATATTATCTTTGAGAATAGTTTGAGAGTAGTAGATGCGCCGTAAACACAGCCCCGGATCTACGATTTGTTTGAACCGGGACAAAAACTTCATAGTGTCGCCTCCTCTCTCTAGCGTTTTCGATAACTTGTAAAAAAAACTCACAAATACATAATGGGTGGCATTTTTTGTGATTGGGACAGTAAGAACCCTTAAGTAATTTGGACTCTTTATTACCTATTACCTAATAACTTTTCATTTGTGTAACACAAAGTTATTTATAGAAAACATATAACCAAGAAAGATAAAAGCGGCCAAGAGCGTGTCGGGCCACGCTCGGTGTAGGGTTCCGTAGTTTCCCGTCCGTCACAATAAGTGTTCCCACTTATGAGTTTAAAGGTGGTCCATTATGTCCGCGCTCCAGCAGCGCTCCGTGCTCCTGCAACTGCTCCCGGTAGTGGGTACTGTTATTTCCATCCAAGTTCAAAATGATTTTCCTAGAAAGTCCTTATTAAGTTCTACTTTTCAGATTTTTTTTTCATATTTTCTAAACTTATGGTTCAAAAATTAGAGGGGGGGACACACCATTGTTTTTTACTTTTGGAGCGATTATTTCCGAAATTATTGACATTATCAAAAAATGATTTTAGTAAACCCCTATTCATTTTTAAATACCTTTCCAACAATATATCACACGTTAGGGTTGAAATTAAAAAAAACATCCACTTTGCATATAGGGGGGCTACCCTAATAAAACATTTTTTTGCAATTTTTATTTTACCACTTTGTCGGCGTGATTGATACACATATTTTTTTGGTACCAAATTTCAGCTTTCTAGTGCTAACGGTCACAGAGATTAAGCGAGGACGGACAGATGGACAGGCAGACATGGCGAAACTATAAGGGTTCCTAGTTTACTACGGAACCCTAAAAAAAGACAATCAAGACATTTAGGGTCTTTGGGTCGCAGCATCTTTTTCTTTCTAATCTTGCAGCCGCTTTACACGGCGTGCTTTCTTCTCTGCGAAGGAACCTATTAGCTCATCAAATTCTGTCTTGAAGTCAGTTTTATTTTAAATGGCTAGGATCGCGAGGCCGGATAGGCGTTCCTGACTCATTGTTCGTTCGTTCGAACATAGTTTTTCAGAGAAAGATGAGACTTATTACTCTAACCTAAGGTTCATATTAAAGGTGTGTATTTGTCTCACTTAACTAAGTGCCAGCTTCGAAACAGACTATCACGAAATTAGGATGATCACTTATTTGCGTGAGTTTACCCTACGCTGATTTCAGCTGACAAGGCTGCGTTTAGCAGAAAACAGCGCTAGCAAGCGCTTGTAAACAAAGTGGCGATCGTAAGCGGTAAGCGCTGTCAAATCGTAAGTACCTAGCTATTTTCCTCTAGGAAACGAAGTTAGTTTTAACCGGGGAATCTAACCTAATTTAAATATATATTTGTAAAGTATTCATATTAAAAATTTACCAATCATGAACTTTTAATAACATATATAATATGTTTATTCCTGTCATTATATTACTTAAAACTAATATTGCACAAAACGAACGACTTATAAACTCTACTTCAAAAGAAATAAGCAAAATGGCAGATTGTGTCAGCGCTACTGAAGTTAGCAAACGTGTCCTGGCCGAAAACTGTTTAGTTTCGCCATTTTGCTTACAAGCGCTTGCTAGCGCTTTTTTCTGCCAAACGCAGCCATTCTCTTTCTTATTACACACATTACATGTAGCAACATACTCGTTTTGCTGGCCTTTTTTAGCCAATCGCGAAACTCTGGTTTTAATAGCCCTTCCTCACAATTTCTGTTTATATTTACACTACTTTCTTTCTTTAATAGGAACTTTCACTTCAGAGTCAGACTGACAGTCAGTATCACTTCCACACATTATTAAGTGCTAAACAATAATAATTGTTAGTCAAATAAAGCAACTTTAAAGACTTGAAGTTTGAAACTTTACAAAAAATTAAACAAACATAACTTTAATGTAACTGAATGAAATGATGCTAACATTACTCGAAATTAATATCCATAAACGTCAACTCAATTTGTTAGCATTATAGAGGCAGGATTTCTCAAGAAACAAGGGGGCATCAACGCACATCAAACTCATTCATAGGTATTGGGGTGCGTTCATAATACGGTTCGGTACGGTACGGTATGTTCGGGATTATCGCTCTTTGAACTCATTCATTACTTCCCGTGCGTTCTTATTTTATTACATGTTACTTATTTTGATTACCTAAGTTATTTTTTTACTACCGAACAGAAATCTTTTAACCCTTAGACCTGATTACGGTACATTTTGAATCCGTTGTCATTCATCGACGGTAGGTGGTAAATTTTTTGCTGAGAACGGTGTAATACAGTAATTACGGTAGACATGGCAAACTGGTTTAGTTTGACATTTGTTTACTTTCTAATCTTTTAGGTATTCATTTCACAGCTATTCACCATTTAAAAGTTGACAATTTTAAAAATTTATTCAAGTTTCTATTTTTTATGTCGTTCGAATATTTTTTATAAGTTTTGTCTTGCATTTGCGGCAATTGTTTATGTAATTTTAATCTTACAATATCCAATCCTTTTAAGATTTTATTTATTACGTCACACCAGTTCCATATATATAATTTTATTGTAATGGAGACAAAATATTCTAGTAGAGCTTGTTTATGACACTGGCATGTTAAGAAATTAAACGAATATTAGGATTTAGCACTCTATTATAATTCGTACGAATTAACTTGAGATCTGGGCCGATGACGTAATTGTCAATGTACGGTGTGCAAAATAATGCGTCGTAATATTTTTTTTATTTGAAATTTTTGAGATTTGCATGAGATTATTAATAAAAACAAAATAAAATGTTCTGGCAAGGGGTGAAGTAATAAGTGATATACTGTTGCTATTTTTTATATATTTTAAATATTTATTTTTTATAATATATAATCTGGGGGCACGGCAGTGCCCCCGCCAAGTCGAGCAAAAAAGCGGCACGGCCGTACTATCTTTTCTCGAAGCAACTCAGGCCATTTTCGACCCCTTATAACTTCGTGGAAAATAAAAGTAGAGGCCTGAATTTTCAGTAACCAAGTAAGCATTATATAAACATGGTATATTTCAAATTTCATTCAAATTGAACGAGTAGTTTAAGAATTGTAACCAGTCAAAGTTTCTTAATTTTGTCACTCACTGACTGACCGATCATCAAAAGTCTAAGGCACTTCTAGCAGACATAGAAGCTTCAAATTTAGAATAAAATTAGTGTTTTGTGTATAAATCAAGGAAAAACTAAAACATTTGTTAATTTCTGTCCAGTCTTTTAGATACACTAACTGCATATATAACTTTGTAATCCCATATAAATATATAGAATTACAAAGTTACATTTGCTGTGAATGAATCAGCGTATTTGTATATGTATTACAGATGTACATAGGTACGTTGTTGGTACTCAAGAAGTAGAAGGTACCGGAAAGGTAAAAAATTAGGACTTTCTTATGTACAAAAGGAAATGAGATACCATTAAAAACATAACTTGTAAAAAAAACCAAGTCTCGCAACTCAGTTCTTCTGCCGTAAAAAGTTGTGAGATCCATGTAATACCAAGTCGGTTAATTTATTCAGTTCCTACTTAAGGGTCCTTCTGTTTTAAGTTATTACGTAATTAGCTAACCTAACAACATTTTATAGTGACCATATCAATTTTAAAAGTCTTTTATGTTTTAAATATATAGATTGACTTGGCAATCGCATTAAGCAATCTAATTTAATATAATACGTATTACTTGTGAGATACATTGTGGTTTCATGCGATGGCCAAGTCAATCTATATATTTAAAACATAAAAGACTTTTAAAATTGATATGGTCACTTTAAAATGTTGTTAGGTTAGCTAATTACGTAATAACTTAAAACAGAAGGACCCTTAAGTAGGAACTGAATAAATTAACCGACTTGGTATTACATGGATCTCACAACTTTTTACGGCAGAAGAACTGAGTTGCGAGACTTGGTTTTTTTTTACAAGTTATGTTTTTAATGGTATATTATTTTTAGTTAACGCGTCAAGGAAGGACAAAGAAATATACATACACACTTTCTCATTTATAATATTATTAATTTATTTATTATACACTTTATTGCACTATAAAAAGTGTTATAGATTCGTACACAATAAAAATACAAAGCATAACAGGTGACCTTATTGCTAAAAAGCAATCTCTCCCAGTCAACCTTAGGGTGAAAGTGAATCAATCTTGGATAAGCGGAACAGCACAAACTATGTAAAATCAAGGAATAGAAGTAAGGAATATTAATAAGGATTTATTATAATATTTATTATTCATTGTCACTGTATACGATCGGTTCTATTCCGTCCATTAGATTGTCCTCACTTTCACTCTCTGAGCTGGATTCTTTCCCTCCGAGGGATATAATTAATTCTCTCTGTTGGATTTCTCCAAGTCTATCACTCTCCCAGTATTCATTTTCTAATCTTTCGATATGGTTAATTTCTTTCTTCCAATCGGAAGCCGTTATAGACTGTATTGCGTCTCTTGTCAAACCCTCTATTTCCCTTTCAAACTGGTTAACATTTTTAGCTGCCACCCTTTGTTTTATTAAGTTCCATATATATTCGATAGGGTTCAAATCACAATGGTAGGGTGGCAGCCGTAATACCTCGTGTCCATGCTCCCTCATGAGTTCGTCCACTATATATTTTTTCGGTGGTTTATTGAGCAGTATTATATGGTACAGTTCCGGTTTCGTCATTTTTTCATCAAAAGGAATGTTGTTTTTCCGAAGCCAACTCTGCATCTCACCTTTCAGAGACGAGCTCACGGGTGGTTTTTCAGACTGCGTTGAGTGGTAGGGAGCATTGTCTATAACGACGAGACTGTTTTGAGGTAAGTTTGGGATTAGTTTTTCTGTCAACCACTTTTTAAAGTTTTTACTATCCATTTCATGATGGTAGTCCCCGGCATTACTTTTGCATTTGTAAAGCAATTCGGCCCAGGGATAAAGCCGTTTTCACCGCCAGCGTGCACCAATATCCACCGCTGTCCTGGATTATCATTTTTTCTAATGCTTGCGTCATTGTTATTTTGCCAGCATTTGCGCACGGTATAGTGGGAGTGAATCCATGTTTCGTCTAAATAAGTTACGGGTTTTTTGTCCACCCCAAGTTCATTGTTTTCTTTCTTCCTTCGTAAATAACGGGCTCTCCAGGCAGCAATGTCTGGCTTTTGTATTAAGACTTGTCTTGCGTTCTTACATTTTTTTAAATGTGTACCCCAAGTAGTTAACGAGTATTCGTTGTAACGTGGTTTTTTCACCTGTAAAATAAAGGTTTTATTTTTAATTTTTAGTTATCGCGTGGTATTTTTTCAAAAAATAATTTAAAATTAAATATCTCAGAAATGGTTCACTTTTGCATATGGGTGTCCATACATAAAATTGTTGCAAATTACCAGTTCTAGCACCCCTAACAAGATTATGCTTGAATTAAATGTCACCTTGTATATGATATGACCTAAAGTATGATATATAATACATATAAAATATGTCAATAAATATGGGTACGTACCTGGAAAATTTAGATCTGCTTTTGCAGCCGTTAAAATCTTTTTCAATGTTGGACTTTCTTTCCGTACTGTATAGAAACTGTTGACAAGGTTTCTTAGAGCACACAGATCAAAATTGTCGAGTTCAATTTTTTTGAGCTCTGTTTCCTTTTTTTCCCCTGGAGTTGATAGTTTAAGTTCTGGTCTTGCTTGAGAAGTACATGGTTCCGATACTACTGTGACATCATCATTTTGGTTTTGAGAAATTGACTAAAGTTTTTTCGCCTCGTTTTTCATTCTTAGTAGTGTTGCCTTTGATATGCCTGTTGCTGCACAAGCCCTCTTTAAAGCTTGGTCCACAGTAATAAGAAACTTTTTATTTGATTTTCATCTTCGAAAAATTTTGAAACTTTTAGAGCAAGTGTCCGTGCTTGGCTATGTATTGTCTTTCCTCCCATCTTTTTTTTAAAAATAAAAAAGGCGGAGTAACTCCTAAGCGTCACAAGAAAACGGCACAACACAACGTCCAAACTTAACAATAAAACAACGCAATTAACAACAAACAGATAAAATAACGTTCAAGTATAACAAAAACAAACAAAAGTCCAAACCAAACAACAAACAATTATCAAAAATATCGAACTAGAGTCGAGACGCGTATCCGTAACAAAAATGCTATCGGTACTGAGCGCGCACGGCCAGCGCGGGACGCGGTGCGGGGAGTCGGGAAGGGGGTCGCATTCCAGCGGAGTCTCAAGTTAATTCGTACGTGTTGTACACGCGCCCCTGTTTGGTAGGGATGTTCCGATACCATCAAAGTATCGATACTTACTCATTTCCATAGTACTCAAATCTTTTTTCGATACTACTTATATAAATACTCCTAAAGTATCGATACTTACTGATATCGATACTTTTAGCAAAAAAAATTTTTTTACTAACGTAAAAACAATGAACTTTGAAGGACAATAATTAAAACAAAATTGACAAGGAAAAAATATCTTTTATTATAAACGTCAAACGACTCTTTCTAAATACCTCTACTATTACACAGTATTTTTATTTCTAAAGTAAAGTCGTATTTTTTTTAAATAAGACTACTTTAGAGACTTTTGCGCCTTAATGTCAAAGAGTTTTTTGTTTAAAGTTTAAACAAAAAACTCTTTGAAATCTAGATTGCCCAAAAACAGTACCTGTTCCAGGTATTTCGGAGACAATCTGTTCCTTGTGTGAGACATTGTAGCACCGGCTTTGGAAAAAAGGCACTCGCTAGGAACTGACGTTGCCACAACTATTAAATACTGCTGTGCATACTTGTACAGACAAGGAAAAACAAATTTCATGTCATCCCATTCTACAAATGGATTGCTTTTAAGAGAAACTACTGGATTTGATAAATAAAGAGAAACTTCATCTCCCTGATAAGATTTCTTTTTCGTTCTTACAATAATTAAAATTACTCGTAAACAATCACTCAGTTTAAACAAAGTACGTATAGTTTTATTTGTTGACAATAACATGACAACTTAAATGGCGGGCGGGAAGGTGGCTCTCTCGCTTTCGGCTCGGCTCGGCTAAAGTCGGACAAGTTCGGCTCGCGTCACTCACGCTGCCATGCAATGACTATGTACCTGTAACTGAGCGAGAGGGCTTTGCTCTCTCATTCTGACTGATGAAAATTTTTTTTAATTGTTTTTTTTTTGATTCGATTTGATACCAAGTAGTGGTTTTGTTTCGATACCGAGTATGTATCGTAAGATTGATTCGATGCTATAAATACTTGGTATCGAATCAAAAGTATCGAGTACCTACTCGTCTTTACTAGTATTGGAATATCCCTACTGTTTGGGACGCGAGTGCTCGCGCGCTCTACATATGTAGAACTATTTTGTGTAAAGATTTTACAGGAACAATGAACAAATATAAAAATGCTTTAATATCATATGAAAATAAACTTTAATAAGAAACTAAAACAGACTAAACAAACTGTTACCATTTATTAGGCACTAAATATCAGACTTCTTGCAAATTTTGAGAAAAATCAATGATTTTTTGGCATCAAACCTTCTCAGTCTCCTTTTTTTTTACTCGCTCATATCTTCCACACAGTCTTCATCATTTTTAAAACAGTCAGGGCGTTGAAGAACCTGATGTTGAGGTCAAATCCACTTTTTACAGGTTTGACATTGTTTTCTAGTGGACTTATTGCGCGCTCTGCCACGAAAAGAACGTATTCCGACTCGACCGGTATTGGGAAGTTGTGCTGGGCGTGGTTGTGATTCCGTTGACTCTTTCATGTCCAAAAGCATTTTCCTTTTCATTTTCAATGATTTTGGAATATCTTCAATATTTATTCTGCGTTGTATGCATGGCGCGACTAGGTGAAAATCAAGTTCATATAAATAACTCTTCCTGGCCTTATTTCTGTAGTCCTTGTTCATTGTATGTACAATTTATAGCACTAACCGTTTATAACACTTATATTCATCAGATCAAAAAAAAATGGTATGTGGCCATCGCCTGGAGTTTTCGAAGACTACACATTTTGTCCACAATGTGCACGTCATATTTGGTACTGTTGTAAAAAGTTATTATTTCCGGCTCACGTTTCTATGCTGTTTATAAATCGATACTATCATCATAGTGCATAGTTGAGTATATAAGAACCACTTTCTTTGGTTTTGGCATGTAAGATACTAAAGTATCTTGTTTTTGAAAGCCAAAAATTGAACTCTTTTCGCTTGTTTCTTGTGATTTTGAATTCTTCGGAAATTTGTAGCTTATTTTTCGTCACAGTGCCTACGACAGTAATTTTGCTGCCTAAGAGCTCTAAGCATTGAGGTATATTCGTGAACCAATTGTCCACTGTGACGTTCCAACCTAAACCATCCAATGGGGTAAGCATTCGTTGCACAATGTCCACAACTTTATTTGATTGTGCATAAAGACCATCCGGTAATAAGGTACCTCTGTGTCCGTTAGAAAAAATATTTTTATCCCATACTTTGCAGGTTTATTTGGTATATATTGTCTAAAAGGATATCGACAAGAAAGAAAGAAAGCCCATGATCAACCGTCCTTTTTTCTTTCTTTCTTTCTTTCTTTCTTCTCGGAAAGCAACAAGCTGTTCATCCAAAGTCAAGAAACCACTCGGGACAAAATACTGTTGGCAGTTTTTGACTAATTTCTCAAAAATATCTCGTACTGGAATCTGCAACTAACTTATTTTACTGTTTACGGACGGCTCTGTCCCTTACATAATCAAATCTAGTCGTTCGAAGAAAAAATCTGAATCTATTTAGTGACATGACGAGATATATTAATTCGGTACCTGTACATCGCGTTGTATCCCAGATATCTTCCAAATTACGTCTTCCGGATTTTTGAACACCTATTACAAAAAGCATGCCAATAAAAGCTCTAATTTCTAAGGTATCCGTAGCTTTAGCATCTCTCTCTCTCTCTCTCTCTCTCTCTCTCTTGAAAATTTTGTTTTCACTTGCTTTATGTAGATATTTGCAGAATTTGTTAAGAGTTCTATGATAGACTGATCAAAAAATAATTCAAAACGTTCTAACTCCATTGAGACTTTTTTGGCAGTCCCTTTAGGCCCTGTTGGTTTGGTACGAATATTTTGTGTACGTGTGCGTGTGCTAGTATAAGGATGTTTCATCCACTTAGTGCCATTTCTGGCCGTGTAGTAATCGTTATTGAGATAACTTAGAGGTATATAGTATTCCGATTCGAAATCCGAGCCTAAAGTTTGATTAGTACCTGGCTCGCTTCTTTCCAAGGATGGTTCCCTATCACTTCCTTCCTGTTCCGTGTCGGTATTATGTGGTGATTCAAAAACACAGTCTTCATTACATAGCTCCGCTTTAGTATCACTTTCTATTATATCTTCTTCATCAGTACTAACTTCTTCCAACCATCTCAAAATATGTGCCATTATTCTGCGAAATATAGTTATCTTAATAACTTAATGACAAAATTTATACAGAATATAAAAACGAAAGGTAAACTTCCGACAAAAATGACGCGAGTGCTCGCGCCCTCTTTTACTGTAGAATTTTAGTTTTGGCGCGAAATTTTAATACGTGCAATCGAGCAGTTTACCGCAAGAGTCGCACTGATTGTGATCTCCAGCTATTATAGTAATAGAGGAATACTATGGGTATGTTCCGAAATACAACCCAGTACACTGTCGAATGCGAATGACGTCATTAATTGACCCCGTATTCCACCATATTCTATACAACGAATCACCAATATGGCGTCGATTTATGACGTCATTTGCATTGGCCAGCGTACTGACTTGTGTTTCGGAACATACCCAATAAGTGTGTGCGTTAGACACCCACAATTCACGTTAAATTCCATAGTAGAACGTGCGACTAATGGAGTGTTAATTTCATTTGCTATTTTGTTTGAAATTTCCTAAATATTTGTTTTCACTTTCAAATATTCGTTTGTTTTTTCTCCAATGGTTGAAAAATACCTCACTGCATATTCTCAGGGTTAGGTTAATTATATTTTTTTTAAAGTTTCTGTAATCTGTGAGAAATCTATTTGTGGACAAACGACTCATTATTTTGAGGTAAATATTTTTTACAATGATTAAAGTTAATTATTTTTAAATATTTTGTCACAACCACAGAAATCGTAATAATAAGACAATAGAAATGAATTAGCACTCGATTACTTCCCAAACCGATGTCGCCACATCTTACCGTATTACAAACATAGGTACGCAATGCACAATGATATCTAATGTTTCACATAACATTGCTTGGCGAGTTTGTCAACGTCGCTTGCGTCGCCTATTACGGTAGAACAGAAGCAGCAATGGTAATTGTACAATACGAAAAGTAATAAATGAGTTTGCAAAGGTAAATGTCATAGTAAAGTATTCATCTAGATGTAAATTAATTAAAACAATGATAGTAAATTATCAACACTGATGAAATGTTATGCCTTTATTAGTTTAATTACACGTCCTTGATGAGTTTTTACAACTGATTATGCTGCAGTGCACCATTATAAATTTATAATAACAAAAATTCACGTACGACGTTCCCCGCACAACTAAATCACAAAATGGTGAATTATGTTCGTCAACCCATATAAGCGGCGACAAGGTCACGCGTCTATGCGATTTTTATTGTCTTATTATTACGATTTCTGTGGTCAACCCATCGCAGTATATGCACCAGAGTGTACACCGAGTATTTCTTTTCGAGCTTCTACTTGCTGTCTGTCTCTTTAATATATTTTTTAATTTTATTATTTGTTCTCCCGACTTTTCCTCACAATTATAATTTTCTGAATGAAAAGTAATAAATTTAGTAACTAACAAGGAGCGAAATATATTTTAAATGCTTGATAATTTGGGTCATTGGTTCTAAAACTATATGCCCGCATTTGACCAAATAAGTTTTCAATTGGATCAGAATTGAAGTATCTTGGGCGCATAATTTTTGAACCCTTTTCTTTTCAAAAGCGTGACATTTTAATTAAGTTTTTAGTGTCAAAACATTTTTTTGAGAGGGAACAATACACTCCTTGCCCTTTTATTAATAAATCTAATTTCTTCTAATTCTGTTATGGAATTTGTCCAAAAGGTTTCGTGCTCCAATGAGTTCGTTACAGCTTGCCTTTAAGGGCTTACATTTGTTTCACCATCTAAGAGCTGCCCCGTTACATGATTCAAAGAAGTCATCGGAAAATGACACAACTTTCGAAGTATTTTTTAATGTTGAGCTTACAACTTTTTCATCAACATAGTGGGCTGTAAAATAAAAATAAATGTAATGTTATCGACGACTCATTATTTTGAGTTAAATGTTTTTTTTTTAATTAAACGATTTTCACAACCCCTTCCGCAGTGATATGCACGAGAGTGTACACTGAGTCTTTTTTTCGAGTTTCTACTTGAATATTTTTCATGTCTTCGGGAGACATTATTACTTTAGAGGTTGACAGAAGCATCTGGGTTTCACAAAGTTGTGGTCTCTTTATTATTTTTTTTTTTATTTTATTATTTGTTCTCCCGACGTCTTCTTATAAATCTCTGAATGAAAGTTAATAAATCTGGTAACTAACAGGGAACGAAATATATTTTAAATGCTTGATAATTTGGGTCATTAGTTCTAAAACTGTATGCCCGCATTTGACCAAATGTTTTCGATTGGGTCGAAATTAAAGTACCTTAGGGGCATAGTTTTAAACCATTTTGTTTAAAGAAGCGCCACATTTTAATTTAATTTTTAATGTCAAAACATTTTTTGAGAGGGATCAATACACTCCTTGCTTTTTTATTAATACATATCATTTCTTCTAATTTTTTTATGGAATCTGTCCAAAAGGTGTCTAGCTCCGATGAGTTCGTTACAGCTTGTCTTAAGAGGGTAGACGGTTTGCGCAGGAATTGAAAAATAGGTATTTGAAGAAACTATTGCCGTCCCTCACCTCTGGTCTCCAGCCCAAGAGTGCGATAGGGACAACTGCACCTCAAAACGATTTTACCGACAAAAATCACGACCGATCGTCGTTTCGTATTCCCCTGCTTTCTCCTCGAAAACTAAGCCAATTAAATTATTTTTGGTATCAAAATTTGAAGGAAGAATAGATCTATGCTTCTATTATTTGCTTTTATCTTAAAACCTCTTCAAATTTCTTTGGTAGTCGTCTGATTATTAGGGTTTTTGGAAAGTCATATTTATTTTTGTAATAATTTCTTGAAAAAAAAGTAAATGACAGGGGTATGCCTTCAATAGATCTAGATTTTTATAAACAAAAACGATTGCTCTAGAGGCATTATCCAGGAAGAAAATAGGGGAATACATTTGTATCGAAAAATGCAGCCCGTCTACACTCTTAAGGACTTCCCTTTGTTTCACCATCCAAGAGCTGCCCCATAACATGAATCAAATAAGTCATCGAAAAATGACACAACTTTCGAAGTATTTCTAACGTTGAGCTTACAGCTTTTCCATCAGCACAGTGGGCTGTAAAATAAAAATAAATGTAATGTTACCGACGACTCATTAATTTGGGTTAAATGTTTTTTTCAATTATTACAGTTAATTATTTTTAAACGACTTTTCTCAACCCCTACCGCAGTGATATGCACGAGAGTGTACACTGAGTCTTTCTTTTCGAGTTTCTACTTGAATATTTTTCATGTCTTCGGGAGAGATTATTACTTTAGAGGTTGACAGAAGCATCTGGGTTTCACAAACTTGTGCTCTCTTTAATATTTTTTTTATTATTTGTTCTCCTGACGTCTTCTTATAATTATAGTTCTCTGAATGAAAGTTAATAAATCTGGTAACTAACAGGGAACGAAATATATTTTAAATGCTTGATAATTTGGGTCATTGGTCCTAAAACTATATGCCCGCATTTGACTATAATAAGTTTTCAATTGGGTCGAAATTAAAGTACCTTGGGCGCATAGTTTTTAAACCCTTTTCTTTAAATAAGCGCCACATTTTAATTTAATTTTTAATGTCAAAACATTTTTTGAGAGGGAACAATACACTCCTTGCCCTTTTATTAACCCTCGGTTAGTCGCGCTTTTTTTGTAACGTCGTTCGTCGCGTGGGGTCTTTGAAAGCCCCTAAAATAAATTGTTTAAAAAATACACAAATTTATATATTTACCTACGTTATTTTATATTTTAGTCTTATTTGATTTAATACCAATAAAATAAAACCAAAAAACATTACATACTAAAATTAGGAACTAAAAATTCTCTCTATGAGATCACTAGGCAATTAAAATTAAAATAAATCAAAAGAAATTAAAATCTATTATAAAAACTTAAGTAATCCTGATCAAAATAAAATTGTCTAACTTTTAATATAAAATTTGGTACACTTATTCACAAAAACATATTAACTTTCACTTATTGAAAAACTGAATTAATTTTCAGTACGAAGACATTCAGTACATACTGTTTTAGTATGTGTTGGGCAAATGTTGACCTTACAAAAGTGGCAAATAGATTTAAATTTCCTGTCTGTTCTTCAAGGCCAGTGAATACATCGCTTTCTCATTGGCATGACGCTTACTTCAGGTTGAATACCCTGAAGTGGTGGTACAAATCTTCTTCAACTGCCTGTCTCAAATCACGCGGCAAATTGGTAATAGTTGCCCTCGACTGTAGTTTCTCTCCCTTTTTTACTATATGAAAATTACTGGACGAAATATCTATCAATGGTTCTTCATCCCCATCACTGAACGCAGATTGGAGGACCAATTTTCGGATTCGTTCACCAATCCCAAACAGTTCGAAGTCAGTGTCATGCTCTCTATCTTTATCAGGAAACAATCCGGTTCCATTTTCTCATCATCACCACCGAGTATGTCATTGGCATCTTCTTCTATCTAGCTCAATATTCGTCTTTACTGCTGTTCGTCCATTTTTTTTATAAAAAGTTGATAAAAGTAGTCTAAAACAATGAAAACAAACACAGTATAATACAATAAAATTAAAGTTAATTCATTATCAACGAAATTATGATAATGATAACAAAAAAGGAGTTGTATTACGAAAATTGCATAAAAATGGGTTATAAAAATTTTACTTACGCGGTTCGTCGCGTGGGGTCTTTTAGAGCCCGCGCACACACAAACATGTCGAACTGAAACTAGCCGTGATCAGGGTTGCCGTTCTACAAATTTTAAAGTCCCTAGACGAACATAAAAAATCCGCCAGAAACATGATTTTTCTTTATCTTAAAATCCGCTAGATGTCCCTAGGTACATTTTCGTGCTACCATTGGGCTAACTGAAAAATATTACCAAACGGCATATATACAATGACTACCGAAAATCTAAATGTATAAATTCAGAAAAACCTTAAAAAGAGTTTTCGTAATAATCTGATTGTAAATAAACGTTCATTATTTTTTTGATAAATAGCTTATCGATTAAAACAGGTGT